GTCCAATGAAATATAGAGATATATGTGCTCTCCAAGAGCTTGTTGAAAATGCTCATGGTTCAGAGCACTCATATTTCACTGGTGCTCTTCTCTCATTTTGTAATTGCATTTGGATTCTTGCAGCCAAATCCTGCTAAAGAACAAGAAAGTGGGCAACACACATACATCATACATGCAGTATGATGCCCAAAGAAAGGTGTATACCATCCTCCCTCTAGCCTTCAGTTACTGAGCATCATTATTATCTTTCTATTGACAAGAAGCTATTTGTATTTAATAAATACCTCGTCTTCCAATGCATTTTACATCTACTATTTATAATGTTTTATTTTTCCGCTCTAGATTCACCCACAGTTCTTGTATCCTCTTTCTTCCTCCTCCTGCAGCAATTTCAGCCTCAGTAACTGGATATAATGCTACTCATGTTTCAGTGTGTAACTTGAAAAACTTTATGATAATCATACAAATAGTATTTAACATCCACATTAGAGTAAGGTTCATCAAGTTCTACAACTTCCATGTTGGTGACATAGGTTGCTAGCGAATCACAGAGCGTGAGTTCCAAAAGTCCAACGCAAATGCATTTCACACTGTGAGGCAGCAGCCAAAAGATCAATGTAAGAGTGATTCACTGTGGTCTGGAAAGAAGAAATTCAAATGGGAACACCTGGGAAGCTTGCTGAAATTCTTTTTTGATGTCAGTGCTTTGCTCCAGTTTATGGAGGACTACCAAAGGACAAGAAGAAAGACTAGACTTGCAGGTATTTTTATTAACTATGAAAGTATTTGGGATTACCTGAAATTAATCCTATTTAGCTGCTGTTTCTAAAGACAGACAGTAGTATCTAAAGTTATGTGAAAAGCATTTTTCATTCTTTTAAATTCCTTTATGTTTTCTCCATTTTGTGAAATATCTACAGACCTTCCGTTTTTCTGGTGAGACACAGGTAGTTCAATCTGTTTCTAAAGCTACAGCTGTGCATACGTGAAGGTAGAGCTGTTTCAAGTCTGTCCTGTTCTGTTTTCAGACCTTCATATTAGGACATATAATAAGCTATGTTGTCAAGATGCTTTAAATAGCAGAAGATTTACTGTTAAAAGATATGATTATCTCGTACTTTGATATGTAGTTTTCCTTTTGGTTGTGGTTAGGTATGAACATACTTTAATTTTTCATTTTCAGACAGCAGATTCTCCTTCATCTAATATAGATACTACCCTTCAACACTTTTTACAGGTGGGCCTCAAGCAATTTTAAGCCTAGGGCTTTTTAGTTTTATTCTTCATTTCTTGTCTAAAATAGTGAAGTGATTCCGAGGAGGGAAAAAATGTCAAATATATGTGCCTTAAATAAAACATGTAATTAAAAGAGTATTTTTTGTTCTTTGAAGTAATTCAGGTTTGTATGGATTTGTCAAAAGTGGTATATAAATCATGTGTAACTGGTTCACCCTAAAGTTTGCTACATATTAATTTTAAGCATTTTCAAATTTAGGGGCAGCAATTATTAAGGTCAGTGTAGCTTTTGATATGTCAAAATGCAACATAAGGGCATTTTATTCATGTTTGTAATTGTGACGAATGAACTCCTTTATATTGTAGGATGCCCTCTTTAAAACAAAGATTCTGCCGAGAGTTGTTTGAAATTTTTTTTGTACAGCATTTTTCAAATCTATTTGTAGACACTGAGATGCTCTTCATGAAAATCTCAGTTTTGACAAGAAAAAGTGCAAGTGGAGTATTTTGAAAGGTTGACAATCCTGGACTAGAATTTTTCACGTTTGCATTCCAAAACAGCGTTAAAAATAGCAATTCTTATGAAAGTAACATCACCTCATGTATAAAACTGTGTATTACTCTTCTTACCAAGAGGGTTATTGAACAGAATATTTATCTGAATTGGAGCATATATCAGTCAGCTATACTGAGTTGTGCAGCTATACTGGGTTGTGCGGCAAGGTTTTGGTAGCAAGGAGGGGGGACAGGGCTACAGAGGTGGCCTCTGTGAGAAGCTGCCAGAAGCTTCCCTCATGTCTGACAATGAGCCAGTGCCAGCTGGCCGGCCAAAGCCAAGCCCATCAGCAATGGTGGTAGCACCTCTGGGATAAAGTATTTAGGAAGAGGAAAAAAACACTGCAACAGCAGCCATAGAGAGGAAACAACTCTGCGAACAGGCACTGGAGCAGAGATTCCCCTGCAAAGCATGGTGGAGAGCATGGTAAGGCAGGTTGTAACCCTGCAGACCATGGAGGTCCATGGTGGAGCAGAGAAACACTTGCAACCCATGGACAACTTCATGCTGAAGCAAGTGAATGCCCGAAGGAAGCTGTGACTCTTTGGGAAGCCTGTGCTAGAGCAGGCTCCTGACAGAAACAGCCCAAGGAGAGAGAAGCCCATGCTGGAGTAGGTTTGCTGACAGGACTTGTGACCTTGCGGGTGACCTGTGGTAGAGCAGCTTGTTTCTGATGGACTGCACTCTGTGGAAGGGACCCGTGCTGGAGCAGTTCATGAAGAACTGCAGACCAAAGGAAGAATCCATATTGGAGAAGTTCATGGAGGACTGTCTCCTGTGGGAGGAACCCCACGTTTCTGAAGAGCCTTCCTGTTTGAGATAAGCAGTCAGTCAATAATTAGAATCTAGAAGAAATAAGCACTTATGTGAAACAACTGGCTTGGCCCAAAGCTATGGGAATGGAAATGGGAGAGTTTTTGAGCCATTTTTGTTTCAGCCTTTTTCAAGGGCCATCAAATGGAACATTTTTTGCAAAGACTGTCTCTACTCTGTGGCTCAGCTAGAGGTCAGGAACACATGGCAATCTGATACATGTTGAGGTCAAACAGCTAGGACAGGAGATGGATTGCTAAACCTTAATTTGACAGCAGGTTCTCAGATCTAAGTGACATAAGCTTGAAACAGGTACCTCAGCTTGTAGTAAGAAAACAGCTACTTGTGTTTTTTCTGTGTATCGATGACCTGTCCAGTTATATGTCATCTGTCCTCTTGTGTCAATCCTGTCTCCCTTTCCCCGTTGTCATTGTCTCTGTTGTGTCCCCTCTACCTGCCTCCATTACTATTTTCTTCACCTATTCCTTTTAAGAATTCTTTTTTCAAAGTTATTCCATAAGCCAGTGTGACATTTTAGAACAATGACCCTGCTTTTGACACACTTAGGTGTGAAAAATTGCTATAAAAATACATACCAACATGTTTGAAACTCAGGAACCATAGCAGTGGAACGTGAAGGGATATTACTCTAAAAAGGCAGGCAATTGAACTTCTCAGCCTTAAGCCACCAAATTCAAAGCAATGTTTAACTCTTTGGTCTCCTAGCTCAGCTGTATTTGAATGCATAGTTTTCACCATACAGACTAAAACTGCTTCATTGTTTACATGTTCATATTTAAATTACTAAGGAAACAGAGCGACCTTCCATGCTACTCTATAACAGGAACATGCACTTAACAGTAGGATATTAGTAAAGTCTGGTTGCAATTGGAACAAACCCCCCCGGGCATTCATATCCTGCTTATGGGGAGTCTGCTAAAATCAACCAGAAAAAGCTTTTGTAAAGTTTCAAATGATTCTAAAAGGATTTATACCTTCATTACGAAGGAAAAAAATAGTGAAAACCATAGTTTTAAATTATTTTGGATGGACGGGGGAGTATGGCAAATCTATAACAAGCATCCAGCAATATTTTTAACAATCTGTATTGCATCCAGATGCTGTAACTCAATTTAATGCCATCAATTTAACGTTAATCAAAATGAGGTACATGAGAACAGTAGGAAGAAAATGGGAGAGAAACCTTTCAGGTTTGACTTCAGAGCTCTTGCCTAGCTTAGTTTATATCTCTGGTGAACAGTTTCTTGTGACTCTATTTATAGCTGCAGTTTCGGCTGAGCTGCTTTTTATAAAATGGGCTTGCTATCTCTTTGTGCTCGGACTAAATTACAAAAAAAGTACTTGCACAGTGGCAAGAGGTCTCTGCGTAGGAAGCTGATGTAAGGCAGCTATTGGATTTTCAATTCCACTGCTCGCTTACGCTGCTCTAATTTGGCTCGTGCTACAGAAAGAAGAGGATATTAATTGGTAGAGGGACATTATTAGATAAGCAGATGGAAATTGTCACAAATGTTTAAAAGAAACCCCACAGAAGTCTGCAGATTATAAATGCCTCCACTCTGCACTTGCAAAGAAGCAGTAGTCCGTGTTATTCGGTGGATTAGTGATGGGAGAGTAGCAGCAACACAGTAGGAATGAGACTTTTGTAGGCCTGGCTCCAAAATACCTGAAACAATCAGTTGTGAAGATTTCTGGTACTCTGAATGTTGGAGGTTTTAAAATAAATTTGGGATGTTCGGTAAAATTCCAGGTGCCTGGAAGAATGCTGTTGTGAAAGTCCTAACCAAAAGATACTGGTAGCAATAATAATTGTAATGCTGTACTTACAGCACAATAGTTCTACGACTGTGGTTGCAGAAAACAAACCAAACCAAGCCCCTCACAGATCTCTAAGAGGCACGGTAAGAAGCAGCACAGGCATAGTTACGTGTATGTATTAAACCGGGATATCTGTGGGGTGAACCCAGGTACTGTTAGGGCAGAGCAGTTTTACAGTCAGTCTGAGATTTGCACAGAGGAGATGCTTACTTTCAGTGCTCCCAACACAAGTGTGTGAGTTTTCCAGTCGCATTGCCTGAAATGGCTGAGCATCCCGTTAAAACCTGTGCTCGAGTGGGTGAGGAGCTGCTGGGCAAAGAAACCAAGGTCCTCAAGATCTGGGATCCTCATTCTGGTGGAAATTCCATGCTGCAGTGTGTTTTTATTGAACAAAATTTTTTATTCAGCAAAAAAACTAGTACCTTTCAGCCAAGCTTTGCTCTAAGCACCCACCCCAGCTTCCAAGGACACAAGGGACCAGGGAGCTGGCCTGAGAGTGGGTGATGCTGGAGCCGCTGCTCAAAACCGGGACCAAAACCCCAAGGCCGAGTGTCCGGGAATGCACATTTCAGCCTTAACACCGCTCTGTGGAACGCCCAGAGTCCCGGAGCACCGGAGCCCAGCCACGACCGAGGGTCTGTTCCTGCCACGCCGCCCAGGCTGCAGGCCGGGGCCGGGCGGGGCCGGGCCCGGTGCCCGGCGGAGCGTTGCCGGGCGACGGCGGCCGCCCCGCAGCATGGCCGGCCCCGGCCCGTGGCCGCCGGGCGCGGGAGGGTCGCGGTGGGCAGAGGAGGCTCTCGGTATCGCGGCGGCAAGGAGGCGGCCTGCCCTCGCTGCCTTCTCCGCCTTCAGCTTCATCCCGCCCAGACGGGAAGGGCCTCCGGAGCTCAGCTATTTCAACCGGGCGGCCAAGGTGAGGGGGGGGAAGAGAGCGAGGCGGGGACAGCCGGAGAGCCTCTCGGGATCAGAGTGACAAGCCTTCCCCGTGGGTCTCTGCGCAGCATAGAGACGTTATTCTCCGTCCCTCTGCAAGGGCTCGGCCCTCATCATGAGGGACCTGGTCAGGCAGGTGCCTAAAATCATCGTAGAATAGTTTGGGTTGGAAGGGACTTTAAAGATCACCTAGTTCCAACACCCTTGCCATGGGCAGGGACACCTTCCACTGGACCAGGTTGCTCAGAGCTCCATCTAACTTGGCCTTGAACACTTCCAGGGATCCACCACTTCTCTAGACCACTCGTGCCAGTGCTTCACCACCCTCACAGTGAAAAATATCTTCCTAATATAGAAATGCTGAACATTAATCTTGAGCTAGCCTAATGCCAAAATAGCAGGTTTCATCTTCATAGGCCTTTGCAAAATATGTTTGCTACTTGTGGATGGCCAACGAGGGTAAAGTCTTTTACTGGACCGCAAGAGAAGGCAGAGACATGGTTTGTCAAGGATTGAGGACTGACAGGTCATGTGGTATCAATGAAATGTGAGGCAATCCACATGTGCAATCCAACCCCGAGTGTCACTGGGGTTGGATTGCAGCACCTGTGGTTTTTCTGGTAACACACACTTTTGGGGATTCTTTAACAAGAAACTTCTCCATTTCCAGATGAGGCAAAAAGTTTTCAATGTGCCTTGCACAATTTTTCCATACACTGAGCTTTAATAATGAAAATCGATAGAGCTACTCAAAACAATAACATCATTTTATGCCTCAAAAACTGAATGCTTCTGAAGGTGTTACACTGACACTTAACACATACAAGTCAAGGAGGCTCACTCCTTACTCTCTGCTGGATTATATCACCCTTGTTCCTCATTCTCTGTCCTCATGTTTAACATCAGAAATGAAAAAAATCTTACACCTTCAGCCTCAGCTGAGTGATACTTCCTGGATGGCAAACTTTTCTCTCTCGAAAGTGTCATGAGACATTGAATTTAACACCCTTTTCCTCAAAAAAATTACCCTTAAAAATTTCTGAAATGTCTATTATATCAATATAATATAGTATTATTATGGCAATGTATAGTTATTTATAACAATAAATACACCCCATATATTTATCCCGTTCCTGCTCAAGTGACAGGCTGCTGAACGTGCCAAGCACTGGGCAGTGCTGACTGGTGATTTGTGAGTTTATATTTTGTGTGTCCCTGGGATGTGGGCAGGGTGCAGACCGAAGCACAGTGTTGGGCATTAAAGGAATTAGGACAAGAGGTCACGATTTTCAGCTCTGCCAGGGGACGTTAAGTTGGATATTAGGAAGAAATTTTTTATGGAGGGAGTAATCAGACATTAGAATGGAGGGAGGTGGTGGATTCACTGTCCCTGGAGGTTTTTAAGATGAGACTGGATGTGGCACTTAGTGCCATGGTCTAGTAACCACAGCAGTGCTGGATCAAAGGTTGCGCTTGATGATCTCAGAGGTCTTTTCCAACCTGGTTGATTCTATTCTATTCTATTCTATTCTTAAGATGAACAGCAAATTTCCTGCATTGACCAGGTGGCCCTGCTAAACTCTACTCTACAAGTAGAGTTGTAATGTCAGACTCTTTTGTGTTGATTCCAGCATCGCCTTGGGATGGTGCTGTGAGCCAAAGGTGAGCGAGCACAGTTGGTGCCCCATGCTTAACAAACATGATAGGGAGAGCACAACAAGATTAAGGCTAGAGCAAGTCAAAGGGCTGGCATGGTGCACTTGGGGCTGGTGGAGCTCACAGTCTACCCAGTCTGAACAGAATTAGCAACCACATAGTAGAGCTTTTGCTTACAGTATAGTCTGCTTTCACACTCACGATGATTTGGTTTGTGGAAAATGCTGCTCCAGTAGCATGGAAAACAAACATGATAACAGCTGTTTAATAGATTTCTTCACAGCCCAGGCCTTGGCCACAGGGGAGGAAACAAGCAGATTCAACCCATTCTTCTGCACAATTAAGGAATTAAATAATTTGGGGTTTTTTTTATTTATACAGCAAAATAATTTCATTCCTTTTTTCAGCTTAAATACCTAAACCAAACTGTGTATCAGAGACTGAAGCAGAAAAAATAGGAAGATGATTTGCTCATCATGTGACCATGAACCAGAAATTCCTGCCTTTTAATCCCTTGGCTGACAGTTGCTCCCTCTATTGTTTTACATGTTACTGTAGCCAGTTTGCCTGATGTTTCCTCTTCTGAGCTGTGGAGAAGGCCATTACTTATTTTATGTGTGTCTGGAATATTACTGAATGCTTGCAAAGCACTTACCTTTAGTAGCACTACACAGAGGATGCCCACCCCGAGTGCATATTTATCGTCTGCTCTGCATGACTCACTTGCTCAGAAAGGTTTAAGAAACAGCTCAATACCACCACCAGCAGCCAGGTCAACTAAGTTATCATTTAATAACAAAGAGAAACAGTAGCAGAGAGTTATCAGTGTATTGAGAACAGAACTGTTGCCTCTACACATCTGGCAGAAAATCTTAGATCATCTGGGAGAGAGCTAGCTTTTCACATAACAGGCTGGCTGCCTGTCTTTGAGTTCCAGAAAGAATGAGTTTTCTGCTCTGACACAAGTAAAAATAACGGACAAATAATGCCACATGAATAAAAACAAAGAGCAAATAACACTCCTGGTGGTGGGCACAAATTGGATGCTAACTGAAATTCTGAATGAAACTGGTAGCATGGAGAGTAAAGGAGAAGTAAGGAAATAAGAAATAATAATAATCATGAAGGTGACACATCAGGTGCAGGATGCTCTTGAATGTGACTGAAAATCTCTGAGGCTTGATGGTTTCTGGGAAATGAAGGGGTAGATAGGTTAAATACCAAATAATCCCTCCTCATGGCAGAACCAAGTAATGGAGGTATCTTTACAAATTAAGCCTGTGATTACAGCAGTGTCTTACTAGTGCTCTTAACTATGGTCTTCTTTTAACGGAACCATTATAGCCTTCTTGACTTGCCCTAACTTGACTATTTTTGAAGGATTGCACTGTAAATTGTAAGACTCAAAATACATGAACTAGAGAGGGGAAAAAGCCCAACAAAATGCATCATTGTTTTAGTCAGCCATGCACAAAGACGGTGATGGATTGATGTTTAACTGAATATGGACCTTTTAATGAAGCTCATTAACATATGACAGCATATTTCAGTAGGGGATTTTGCTTTTCCCTTGAAAACTCTTTTTGTTTTTGAAATTCCTTTGATTCCATTCATGACAACTTGTTGAATGGATTCCACAAATGCCTTTGTTAGCAGGTCAGATCTTTAATGTTGCTTCTTTGGATACACCTATGTCAACAGTTATACAATTATATTCTGTCTTGGAGTGTGCTATATTTTCATGCATGACATATGTATGTCACTCATACCACTGGTTCACAGAATTACCACTGTGGCATGTTTCAGAACTGTTCTCAGTTCTGCTTTAATCAGAAATTAAACGATGATTATACTGCAGGATACCTTTGTGCTTTTCATTCCAGATTAATTTGGAAACTGCCTGTTTTGCTTTTACATAATTTGCCAGTTCAATTGACAAATATATGAACTTAAGAAGAAGAATATTAAGTTCAGAAAATGAAAGCAAAGAAAGCAGTTAAGTTTCCAAAAGTTACAACAGACTGGGGCTGGGGGGAGGGGGGAGGTGGGATGTGGAAATTGAAGTAAATTGCCACAAGGGAAATTTCAGAGATGACTAGACTTAAAAAAAGGTATCGTGTCATCAGGCAATTTTGCAAACTATTACAAAGGAGTGGCCCAAACTTGCTAATAAGCTCAGTAATATTACAGTTGTCATCATCTAATACAATATGTGCACCATTTAAGTATTGATTTGACTACATATATTCTGTAATCTGTAAAGTTAAGCAATGCTGTGAATTAGCCACGTTTTCCCCTTTTCTCAAGACAGAACATGTTTTCACCTATGACACCATTTTTAGAATACCAGAAGGTTACAACAAGTATCTTCCTCGCTGTGACAGAAAACACGCAAAAGGTCATGGTCTCAACATCAATGAGGAGGTAACCCTTTGATGAATTTGTAATTATCTTTGTTAAAGTTGATTTTTATTTTTCTGACGTGGCTAGGCACTACAGGCATTGTTTTACCCTTTATAGTGCAGCCTATGTGGTAGGAAAGGAATTGGAAGGAGGACGTCATTGTGCTCAGCCTGGAGGTTTAGAAGAAAGCATTAGCCCATGAAGACACTTGAATTAGCTCTTGTTCTTTGGCATCCTGAAGATTTCCAGGTGACAAGACATATGCAAGTTAAAGCACAGGGAAAGAGGCAAACCCTCTGTTACAGAGTTTAGGGAGAATTCTGAATGTCTGTACCTCTCAAGAGTGGTAGTTCAGGTGCTCCTGCAGCTATTCCTGTGATGCTTGAAAACTTTTCTCCCTGAGAGGACTGGACTCAGAGGCCCTGATTTCACTACTGTCCTCTGACACCCACCCTCCCTACACCAGCATTTGCTGTGAGAGCCCAAGCTTCTGAAGCTGGTGAGTTTGTTATGGAAACTTACACCAGATTGCCCTGCAGGAAGGAAATTCATTGGGAGCTACTGCAGAGGAGTGGTCAATCAGAACACCATGGACATGCCTTGAAAAGAATGGGCAAAGTATTCAAGGTCAGCAGAATCTGGGTTTGATGTGCAGCCCAATAGCTAAATACAGCCATGGTTTTACACAGCTGCCTTGAAAACAGAAATACGATAATATATACACATAAATATATATGTATGTATTTTTTCCATGCAGTGTCTGAATAATACAACTACATACGCAAGTGTTTATGTATCTATTTATACACACACACACACACACACACAAACTCACCCACACACAGAGGGAGAGGCTGCCAAAAATCAAATGAAGTGTAACCTCTGTGTGCTATTGGCCTCAAAATCCCAAAGGGTTCATGGGATGTAAAGTGATGGGTAGACTAGGGATGGCTGTCTGCCTTGATGATTATATATGATAAGGAAGAAGGAAGAGAAAGACAAAAGTTAAAATTACTCTAATTGCTGTGTAATAAAATTGTTGTTATTTTGTAACAAAGGCCACTGCTTGTGATTTGTCTCACTAGAAGCCATATATGCCAGATATCTCAGCGCAAGTGCGTAGCCATAATACCCTTCCACTCTTATCAGACAGTGCAGGCAGTATTAGATGCTCCCAAAGGAATCCCAGGAGTGCCCATTACCACCCTGTGCTCATGCCTAGTAAACCTGTGAGGCCAATCTGTCAACTGTAATCTGTGTGAGGCTAAAAGGCATGTGAGTGACGACTCCAATTAGAAATTAAGTTTTTTATTTCAACAAAACAAAGATAACTTTCCTCCCTCACTACCAAGCCCAACCCCAACTGGGAAATTTGTGTAGAAGGTTTAGTAATGTAAAGTTCAGATTTTTTACTGAGCGCTTGCATCAACAAAACTCACTTTCCTACCAGTTTTCTTCCTAAAGCCAGAATGGGCCAGAATTCATACCAGCTCTGCTGGGAAGTGCACACTAGGGATTCTGTCTGAACAGGTGTCCCTTAATCCAACCCTTTAATTAGCATGGAGACACATCAAACCCACACCTGTTTAATGCTACATGATCCTGCTGTATGTGATGACACCCAACACTGGATGTAACCATAACTAAGTGCAGTCATGTACTCAACTCCTTCTCTTTAATTATCATTGTGGCCCTCACAGACTTTATATAACTATATTATAAAATATAATAAATAAAAATACCACAATCAACATCTTTCTAGTACAACACTGAAAGCAGAAAGATTGAATCCACCACAGTACACTACTTTACTTGAAGTGGAAAAAAAAATAAAAAATGCTGCAAGTAAGCCCCTCATTTCCTGCAGAGCCTGGGTGCACACAGGGAATTCAAGAGCACAGTCACAGATACTCGGTTTAGCTCCATGCAGCACAGTAACTGCAGCAGCGTGTTTGCACAAGGTTGCCATTGCTGATTTCAAGTGTTAGCAGTGCTAGAATTACACACTGCGAAGGCGTTTAGCAGGACGCTTCCCAGCCAACTGTTGGAAAATCTGAAATCCGCTGAATGCCAAACCCACAAAGATAAAATGCCAGTGTGCACAGTCAGTGCTGTGCTACTGAGGATGCCGAAAATTGATTCTTATTTGTTTAAAAGGAACACAAACTATTGAAATTACATACTGCTGCCTATGATTAGCGTTGTAAACCCTGTATTGCTAGCAAAGTCTTTCTCGATGGTACAAAGACTTTGTCATTTCTCATTTTTCAACATTTATCCACAAATAGGGCAGGGGAAAAAACGATCTTAATTTTGCCTGCTGCTCTTTTTGACTTGATTTTCATTCTCGTGGAGTTAAAAGTTGGTGTACTGAATAGTTTTTAATAGGATAGAGTAAGGTGGGTAGGAGGACTGGGGGACGAATGGTTGTTTTGTAATAGGCTTTTCTCTTGAGGTTTCTTCGGGATTTAAAAAAAAAAATAGTGTTAACAGCATCTTCTCAAGAATCTCAGGTTCTGTTCATGAGTCTGGAAATGTCTCTCAGCTGACTGCCCTGCTATGAGACCCCTCCAATCTGTGGTCCCCCGTTGCATCCTCACAGGACCCAAGTTCTGATTTGGCTCAGACTTGTGTCTGTTGTAGCAAAGAAGTAATTTGTTTGCACTTGAACTGTGGTGTGGCATCTGCATTTTGATTTTCCTTTTAGATACTATTTATATTATAAGACTAGATAATCACATCGGGGACCAAGGCTTACTGTATTAGCCAGTGCACAAACATACAAGCAGCCTGATAAACTCGAGACCTTTGGCTAGGGAAAAACAAACAAATCCTGTCTTTCCCTTCTGACTCCATAGCTCCCCATTGCTGTAGCACAGGAAGGAACTGCAGATTTCAGATAGTGATTGCACAGTCACTTAAAGTGCAGCTAAGAACAAGCTTAAAATAATCTTTTCTTAGGTTAATTTTCATCAAGTCTACTTCCTATCATTGCAGTTATTCCTGTAATCTTACAGATACAAGCATTTTTAGTAAAACCTTTCATTGTGCAGAATTAAAGTAGTATATGCTTTATTGCCTTCAGGGAAAGCTTGCATGGACTAGTGGTTGCTCAGGGTTTTGATTTAGGCTTTGATTTTTTTTTATGCTGTGCTTTCACTGAATTGTGTAAGCAGGGTAGGTGTTGCTGTAACACAGGACACAAATGTCTCCCATTTTTCAAATGAATCATGCAAGTCAGTGCACAAGAAAAATAATAAAAATAAAATCTGTGCTTTTCAGTACCATAGCATTTAATTTGCCAGTAATCATATGGTAATCGTGTGTGTACGTATGTGTGTAAAAAGTTATCAGTCCACAGCTCCATATCTTATCATCATGTCATCTAGTGATACACTAATGGTTTATTCATATACATAGAAAACTAGGGCAGGGATGGAACAGTAAGGGTGCAGATCACTGCTAAATAAATATACATCCATATAGCAAGTGCTGTACAGCTTTGTCAGTTATTTTGACCCTGGCCACAGCATATTTAGCATTAGAAAACTGCCAAGCTTTCTATTCAGTTATTTTTTTATAAGATGACTTTTATATTTTCACAGGAAATGGCAAGACCTGTTCCTGTGTTGTCATCTTCAGAGTATGGGAAACGTGTAAACAAGCCCTTAGAGCAGCCGACCAAAGAACATGCAAGGGCTAATCACCTCCATGCAGCAATATACGGGGAAAAGCGCAGCACTCGCTTATTGGAATAACCTCCAAGACTGGATCCATGTTAAATCTCTTGCATCTGTCATTGCCAGCAACATTTATGTGAAAAAAAAAAACACATCAAAAAGCAATATGGTGCTTCTGCCTTTTCCTCTACATTTTAGTTAATGAAAATTATCTGAATTAAAAATAGGATGAAAGAGCAGCTGTACTTCTCCTCATGCTAATTAAAATGCATGTCTTCTCCTTACATTCTCACAAAAATCTCATGAACAGCAGCACCAACAAGAGCTGAACATTTTAGGCAGTAAAACTGCAACTGAGACCTGTTGGGTCAAAAGCTGATTCTGCAATTCTAGGCACTGCTTCTACGCAACTATTCACAGACTTAACATTTAAGCAAGCTTGTTCCTCAAGGTATCAGTGGTCACGAACTTCTTAATCCTTATGATTTTGCTACAGAATTGTGCATCATCATTTTATCTGCACAACAGCTGAAACGGAGATTCAGCTCAGAATTTTCTAAAATGGATGGGCTTACCTATGAATGGGCAAATAAAGAAGTGATCTACTTCCAGAAGTGCTTCCAGTTCCAGTAGGCTTCAAGTGGAAGTCAAGTTAAAAGAACTTCTGAGCACTTACCATTTGAATAGACAAAATCTGGGTTTAGTTGATTTCAGACATTCATTTCACTGACTTTCACTATAGGAATGGTGTCTGACAGATTGATCTGACAAGAAAAACCATCATTGGTTCTGTATCCAATGCTGAAAAAAAGGGAAAAAAAGTAATACTAGCAGAACAAGCACTAAATAGAGCAAATGCCTAAACTTCCTTATTGCCTTGTATTCTCACTGAATCCAGTACTAAAGTTTTAAGGTAATTTCAGGAGGAGTTTCTCCTGCAGCATATGCATCAGTTTGGTTCTCAAGAGCCATTGATCCTGCTGTTGTTTAAAGCTGAGGCAGTATTGTTTGAAAAGGAACAACAACCAGATTGATCATGCCAAAATAAGGACTGGAAGTCCACAGCTTTGACTGACACTAGTTTTGTTAGTACTTACACACAGGAAACCTATGTCATTTTTGAACACAGCGAGACTTCTAGTGAAAAAATAACAGAAGCAAAAAACTTCTTAATGTGGGGCCTGGACAAGTAATAAATTAGGCAATCAATAGCACTTGTTTGACATGGTGAGAAGCAGAGCACATAGAGCAGCCCATTCAGAGAGGTGTTTGTTACTTTCGTTATTTATTACCTGCAAGTTCCTCTGTACTCAATGGACCAGGGACAAGAGGACATTAACTGCTATATTCAACAATAAATATTTCATTAAACAAGTCCAGCAGCATTAAATGAAAGGAATCAAGGTAAGAACAGTCAGAAGGAAATGTTTTCTAATAATAGAATGGTTTTTCAAAAATCAGTATCAAATGTATACCAGTAAAGAATGAGATGGAATACGGCCACATTCTTGGCAGGTTATTTTTAGTTTGGGACAGTCAGTACAAATTGCTTCTTATAAGTAGCCTTACTATATTTACATACCATCTGTGTTTGAAAAACTACTGGAAATCAAATTTGTTTGAGAACACCACCACCTTCTGGCCTGTGCGATAAATAGGCACCACCACTTCATTCACCAGAGAAAATTTGAGTCATCAAAAAACACCTGAGTTTTCCCATCTCATTTCTTTGCTTGCCTCACCCCCTTCTCATCCTTCCTCACTTTTGAAGGCCTTTCAGAGGTTGTTCCTCTGACTACTTGTTTCTCATTCAGTTCTGAGTGGTTGACTTCTCCCTTCAGTGCTCACTGTCAAAAGAATACCTTGACAAATTCTTCTGTATTAGGTATAAGTTCCTTATAAATGTCTGTAAAAACATTTCCTCTATTCTCCTTCAATTTCTCTTTTGCTAGGATGATGAAGTGTAAGGTTATTGATGTTCTGAGCTTACTGTTACACCATTGGAAAACATTTCATTACCTCTTGGTGCTCTCTCACCTGTCTGCACTGATATCCTACTGTAAGGGTTTTATACGTGCAACAAACTATCACGAACAGAATGCACAGCATGACACAGTGGAAATCATATTCTGCATCTCGATTTTGCATCTGGTAATCTCCAAGGATTGTTGGGACAATTGACACACCTGAAATTCACAAATTATTAACAGTAGCCTCAGAAGGAAAAAAGGCCACACCCTGTATCTATTGGTAAAATACACAAAATGTCAATGATGTAAAATTTTTGCCTTTATTGTATCAAAACATAACACCTAAATATCAAACTAGGTGATGCTGGGAATTCTGCTTTCTACAAATAAATAATAAGCTCACCTGAAAATGTGTTTTACGTGACAGTTCATCAAGTATACATAATATGATCAGAACTAAAGCTGTGTTGTTTTCCCTTCATCCATCTGCAAAGCAACATATTGACCCAAGTTGGGGCACACTTGTTCCGGATGAAGTGGTTACTGGTTCTGGTTCTCAGTTCCAGTATTTCTACTCATACATAAAAAAGGACTGCCACAGGACATAGTTCTTCTGAGCTTCAGAGCGTAGAGTTTCTGTAAACTGAAGGAACTTTGGAGGGCACATGTGACCCTATTTAAACAGTTTAGCTAAAACTGCCACCAAAGACAAAACTACAAACAGAATATATCCAGAACATTGGGTGCCCCCACAGAGACAGTTGGCAAGTCCATTATCCTGTGGCAGCTGTTACTTTACAAAGTAAAGCAAATCTTTTTTTTATTAAAAGCGCTCCCATTTTCTGTAAGGCATTGTTACTTATTGAACAGCATTCTACATCTGTTAAAAGCAATAAGCCAATACTGCTTCTGCAACTACTGCAAATTTTAGCTTCAGGAAAGATTCGGAAAATTACACAAACAGCTATAAGTAAATTGCACAATTTCTTCTTATACTGCCAAGAAAAGCCCCAGTTAGTAGGTAGCATGGCACATTCTTTACATTCAGACTGGTCAGTATCCTTGAATAGTCTCGTGTCTGTTTGCAGCTGCGAATTAGAATGAGTGAAATACAAGGCAAAAGCAGCACTGACTGTCTGGCACTCACATCTGTCAACTTATAATAAATACTGACACAAAACTTAAAAAAATATGATACTCTTTATTACTCTTTACATGTCAATTGTTCCAAATATTGGAAGGTTTCAAATTCAGAAGCTCAAATTATCTGAGGTGGAGTTATTTAGAAAACACCATTTTTCTTCCATGCACAGTTTTTACGCTCTGTAGTACAGGAGGTCAACCTGTGATTTAGTGGTATTCTCCAGTGTCATCTGCCGAGTCCGTATGTATGAGGAAAGATTTTTTTGTGCAGATATTCTGCCATTTTCCTGCAATTTTCTAGACTCTCTATCTCAAAATACGGAATCTGGAAACAAAACAAAAATGATTGCTGGAAATACCTTTTAATAAACAACTGGGTAAGAGAGATGTTCATTAAGCAAATGAAAAATTACACATCGAAGATTTTTCTGCTTTAAAATGAAACATTTAATCTTAAGCGTATTATTGATCTGCAAATCCCCTGAAAAGAGATTATTGTAAAACAAAGAGTGAAATCCATTACAGTTTAAACTAAGTTAGATATTATGGAGTTAGGCATATGTAATAAGTGATTGTAAATGGAAAATAAAATCTTGAAAAACTAAAAGTATGTTTAAAGGTAAAAATACCTCTACTTAATTCAACAGGCAAAATAAAGATATACTTGTTGTGAACATTTTATTTACAATACAAATCAGTTTGGGGTTTTTTTAACTCTTCCTTTTAAACCCCAAATTCAAACCTTTTAAAAAAGAATTTAATTAAAAATGCCAATTCTACAGAACTCTTACACAACATTTGCCTGTAAGTCAAGACTTGAATTGATCACTGCAGAGATGTAATCTTTCAAAAAGCCACTATTTAGCAGAAAACACAGACAGAATACACTAAGTGATCCAAGGAAGAAAAAAAGACCTTCTGTACACCCTCAAAGAGGCAAAAGCTAAGCAGAGAGAACATAATATAGTAAGGACAAGACTACATCTGCCTTGGAAATTACTTGAAACTAGTTTTAAGCATTGTAAAATAATTTTTTACATGTTTATATAGCCAGAGCAAAAGCAAATTACTGTCTTTGGACTTTACCTGCACAACTTCATAACCAAGTAACTGAAGATGTCTCTGTTTAATAGCTTCTTCTCCCAACAGATTGTGGCTATTAGCACAAAATCTATTTTGACCATCAACACAGAGGGCAATTCTAAAATCAAGCATAAGTGTAGTATGAAAGAAAAACTCCCAACAACCACTTATTTAATCACAAATACTGCAGTTCCTAAGAAGCATGAAACAATACCTCCCTTCTTACTTCCTTATATCACCTAGAATCAGATTTTGCAGGATGGGAGTTACCTAGTTCAGGACAATTTAAATCACTCAATATTAGGGCAGGAGCTGAAAGCCTGAAGTTTAGTGAAACTGATCTGAAAAGCCTTTTTTTTGCTCTGAACAAAAGTTACCATACAAGTTAATGAGAGATTGATATTTTTAATACTACCATTGGTAAGCTGTTTTGAATTCTTTTAGAAGGAAGAATACACAAAAAACTTGCCTCAGCTTGAAAGCATTTCAGCAGCTAAATTTAACTTACTAGTTTACCTGTTAAGTCCATTACACTTCAAGTCAAAGTTAAGTTTAAGCTAAATCTGTTTAAGTTAAACCTGTATGTATGATTGGCAGCATCATGGATTATAACTAAATTTTTTCTCCTTGGTTTCTATATCTACTGTTAAAAAGTTGCTTAATTTTCAGTATGTTAAGTATATTGTGACCTTATTTACAGATGAAAACTGCTATTTCAAAAAAATAGCAAAGTCCATTCTTAAGCATTTAAGCATGGGATTTTTGAAAAAATCTGTATTAGTCTCTGAGTCTTGTGAAGGTTAAGCTGGAGGAAGCATAACCTTTTCCAAGTATTTTGCTTTATTCACAGAACTGCTGTTGCAAATAACACAGGGAGGTTGCTTAACCTTATCTAAGGTTTCTCAAAATAACCCTTGTTTAATATATTTTTTAAACACCTATGCATTTGTCAATTAAAACCCCCAGCAT